ACCATGAGTCCAAGCTGCGTAGTGAGACCGTGTACCAAATAAATAAAGTATAAAATGTTTGAAAACTGCTGTAAATAAGCCTATATGTTAACACTTTAAAAACTAAGTAATTTATAAGAATATAAGCCAGGGTACACATAATATTTTTATTTTGCTTTGAAAAACATCCTACAAAGGGCTGGCCAAATAGCTCAGTGGATTAAAGTGCCTGCAAGCAGGGGCCAGGGGTTCAATCCCTGGGCCTGCCATGCCGGCCCTGCCCCTGGGGCACACTGAGATAGTGACTGAGACTGGGTGTGGTGGCGCATGCCTGCAATCCCAGTTCTAGGGAGGCTGTAAACAGGTGGATCACTATGAATTTGATCTAGTAGTGAGACCCTGCACACCCTGTAGACCCTTCCCTAAAAAAAAGCAACAAACAAATGAGAAAAAAAACGCCTACAGATTAAAATTGTTTTGGGAACAACTTTTGGGCAAAAAGGGTTGCAAACTCAGGGTCTTAAACATACTAGGCAAACCTTCTACCACTGAGTTATACTGCATCCAAGTACATTTAAATTCTAGAGGTTTGACTTGATGCCTAGAGTGCTGGTGTATATCTGTAATCCCAGGACTTGGAAGGCTGAGGCAGGAAGATCATGAGTTCAAGGCCAGCCTGGGGCTCTATAGTGAGTTCAAGGCCAACCTGAACCCTGTCTCAAAAAAGTTTGACCTTTAATTTCTAATGCTCATAATGTACACACACACACACACACACACACAGACTCTCTTACGGAGTTAGAAAAGTTTTCTAGTGCTGTGGTGCTCAGGTCGCCTGTTTCTCTAAAGAGACCTAACTTTGTACTTACAAAAAAGGGCTTGTTACCGGGAACTTTTTTACTTGGCAGAATAAACAAAGCAAAAGCACAGTCAGACTTAACTCTTTATTATAGTAAAACATATAACAAACTTACAATTTAAACTATTTTCTATACCATTAAATATATTTTCATATATATATGTGGGTTTTTTTTGCCACCAACACTATGTGTCTCTAGAACTTTTTGCATCTTCCTTATTTGAAACTTTAACCACAAAACACTTGACTCCCCATTCTCTTTCCTGAAGTCCTAGTTTCAGCCCCCAGTATGACTGCCATCAAAAAATTATCTCACATTTCTTCCTGAATTGGATTTCTGTTCATTATTTACACTTTTATTTCCTTTTATATACAGTTTAATGCCTTAAAATGAGCACTGCCTTCAGGAAGATACTTAAAGATCTTTATTTGGTTTTCCTTTTTCATTATTGGAAATCAACTGCCAGAGTGTCCACCCACTGAGCTACATCACCATCCCTTTTAAAAAAATTTTTAGAGGCAGGGGCTCTCTAGGTTGCTTAGGCTCACCACAAAGCTGCAATCCTGCTTCAGCCTCCCATGTAGCTGGTATTATGGGCATATGCTACCAGCTGGTTTAAAAGCCCTTTTGCAGATTAAGACATCACTATGTCTTAAGTTATAGACGTAGATAAACTTAGCATCTAAATGTTAGTGCTTTCATAATGCCCAGTAGGTTAGTTTGTCATATACTAAGCACCATAGTTAGATTTCTATACCTAGGTTTTCCTATTCAGTAAGCATACTAATATCTTTCTTTGTTGTATTTTATTATGGGGACTGCATTGGTAAGGAAATGACTACTGACAAATCTTTTGGGACATTTATCACAGTTCTCTTTTTTTTTTTTTTCGTAACAGTACTGTTCTACTCATGCATTAGTAGATGCTTTAAAGAACATTCACTATTTTGCTGTTTTCTTAGAGTCAGCTCTATATTAACATATTCTTTGTTCTTTTAGCGTATTGCTCCAATAAATGTAATACTTATACAATTTCAAAATGTGTACCTAATAGAATCAGCATATTGAAATATCAGAAAAATAAGTATACTTCTTTCATTGATTTATTTGTGATTAAACACTGTTTCCTTACCTACCCTGACGGAATGACACCTGTAGCTCTGACTGCCACTAGGGGGCTAGGTTTTCTTGTTATTGTTCCGGAAAAGATGCTCTTCTTTTTTTTTTTTTTTTTTTTTCAGTTTTGATACACCCCACTTAGGTGTTCAGTTATTTTTTTTTTGGGGGGGGCGGAACCAGGGATTGAACTCAGGCCCTTGTGCTTGCCAGGGAAGGGCTTATGCCACTGAGCCTTCTCCCGAGCCCCAGGTCATTTCCCAGGGTATTTATGTTTTTAAATACCTTAGGAGGCTGGGGGGTATGGTTGTATAATAGAGCATTTGCCTAGCATTTGCAAAGCCCTGGGTTCAATCCTTAGCATAATAAAACAAACAGACCAGAAAAAGCAAAAACCCTTGGGAAATCAGATTCAATAAAAGAGCATATAATTATATATTTGAAAAACTTCCAAAAGATCAAGTATAGGAATCTATTTGTCTAATCTGTATTGAAAGTGACAACATGAACTCATTGTAATATTTAGTAATACAGTATATGTTTTTTTTAAATCACTAAAACTGGGGAGAGGAGGTAAAAAGAATTTGGATGTATTATGTATATGTACCAACTCCATGAATCATATATAATGCAAACATGTACTAATAAAAGTAAAATTTTTACAAAATCACTGAAATTGTTAACCATGTTGCTCAGAGAACTTCAATCTTTATATTTATATCTGAACTAAAATTCTGTTATTGAGGGGTTGGGGAGTTGGCTCAGTGGAATAAGCACTTCCCTGGCAAGCGCAAGGGCCTGAGTTCAATCCCTGGTTCTGAAAAAAAAAAAAAAATTCTGTTATTTAAAGTTTTTCTATGGCACAATTTAATGTCTTAAATTGCACATGATTGGGGCTGGCGAGATAGCTCAGTGGTCTAAAGCGCCTGCTTAGGCAAGCTTAGGCAGGCACAGGGGACCACGGTTTGATCCCCGGCACCACATGCCACACCAGCCCTGCCCTCAGGGTGGGCTGAGTGGACCAAAAAAAAGTTGCACATGATGGGCTGGGGAGATAGCTCAGTGGCATAAGTGCCTGCCTGGCAAGCTCAAGGTCATGAGTTCAATCCCTGGTACCAATAAATAAATAAAGACAAAAAATAAAAATAAAATTATAAAAAAAATAAATTGCACATGATGTGTCAAAATATTTCTTTTCTTTTTTTTTCTTTTTTTTTTTTTTTTTTTTGGTAGAACTGGGGATTGAACTCAGGCCCTTGTGCTTGCCAGGCAAGTGCTTATTTTACTGAGCCATCTCCCCGGCCCCAAAGTAATTTTTTTTTTTTTTTTTTTTTTTTTGAGACAGGGTCTCACTGTGTAGTTTAAGCTAGCCTTGAATTTGCTTATGTATCCTAGGCTGGCCTTGAACTCATGGCGATCCTCCTGCCTCAGCCTCCTGAATTCTGGGATTACAGGCATGTACCACTACACCTGGCTATAAATATTTATTACTAGAAATCAATAGTAATGGAAAAACAAGTAAAGATTTCAATTAATTTTTATAATCATTAGACTAATTTACTTTCAAAGTTTAAGGAGATTATAATTTTATTAGCACACTCAATTTATAAAAAATGTAAATACCTCTAAAGATATTCAGAACATGGAAGTCTAGTAGAATCAAAATTTTACATTTCAGGAAGAAAGAAAATGCAGTATATGAATAGCATGTGCTTTTGGAGTTTGATTTACTAGTTCTGACATCAGCTTTGTGAGTTTTGGGAAGTTAATATCTCTGAGTTTGAGGTCCCTTATTTTGTTAAGTAACTTCATCTGATTGTGTTCAGTTGACACATGTAAATCTACCACTGTGCCTGCAGAATGCTATGTGCTCAACTCATGTTATCTTGCGTAATCCAAAGGTGTGATATTATAACTGATTTCATTTGTACTGGAAAGTCTCAGAGAGACTGAACCTATTAAAACTGACTGCATCTGTAGCCAGGCATGGTGGCACACACCTGTAATCACAGCACTTGGGAGTCTGAGGCAGGAAGATTGCAGTGAGTTTAGGGCCAGTTTGGGCTGGCTTGAATTCCATAACAAGACCTTTGTCAAACAAAACCAACCAACCAACCAATCAAACAAAAAACAACATCTGTGAATATAGTGGATCTAGTCCACTATAACCTACCTGTAAATAGAAAGTTTGGAGATATACTTTTGGGTTTTATTCCCACGAACATGGCAAAAAATTATTTATTTACTTGAAACATCAGCTGGTAATGTTTATTACTTTCTTAACTGCCGTTACTATTCTAAGTGCTCTGTGGCTTTAGGATCTACAAATCTAACCACTTGTCTAAATGGCTAAAATATTTTTTGCATATATTTATTCCAAGTGCATTGTTTAATGGTAGGAGTATTAAAAGACTATTTTGTACTTATTTACTCTTATAAAAACATCCCCCATGGTTGTTACTGCTCAAAAGAATTGAGGCAATTATTTAAGAATGTCAAATATATCCTTTCAATAAAATGAAATTACTTTCAATAAGAATAAATGTTTGATTAGAATGTTTAAGTGCTAAAGAAACCACTCATGAAAGCAGACGTGACCATTTTAAAGCTTATTATATGACTGGGCTGATGAGATAGCTCAGCAGACTAAGCACCTGCTTAGGCAAGCACAGGGACTGGGGCTCGATTCCTGGCACCACATGCTGTGCTGGTCCCACCCCCAGACGAGCTGAGCCAGCAACTGAGACTGGGTGTGGTGGTGCAAGCCTATCATTCTAGTGTGGGGGAGGCTGAAAACAGAAGGATCACTAAAGTCTGAGCTGTATAGTGACACTCTTTGACAACCAAATACATTTTAAGAAAAAGTTTTTTATAAGACCATGTTATTTTCAACAAATAGTATCACCTAGTTGAACTATATAATTTATTTAGACACAAAAAGGAAGTTATTCTTTGTGGTTCTTTCCATGTTGAAAGAGTGAAGTGTTTTGAGTGTAGAGGGATTTATTTTGGTTGATGGCTCATCTCTGTTTGAATTTGTTCCAGCTGTGCTGCAGTGCTGCTCTCCTACCCACATGGACGCTCTAAGTAGTTGTGTGCCTCCCACTGCCTCTTCCTATGCACACTGCAACTACTTCCAGGTGAGACTATGCACTCACTATGCTTTATGTAGAGTTTCACAATTTCAAAGTGTAGTTGATATTAATGAGTAACCGGAGATAAGATGTGGATCATGGGCTTAGCTTTTTCAGTTCTAAATAAAAGGAGCAGTGGTATAAATGATGTCTGGAGTACTTTTCTAGGCTAGCGTTGTCCAGCACAGTAGCCATTATGTACAAGTGGCATTATAAATTTAACTAAAAATTAAATGAAATTTTTAAGCCCAGCATAGTGATGCATACCTGTAATCCCAATACTTGGAAAGCTTAGGCAGGTGGATTGCTGTGAGTTAGGGGCCAGTCTGGACTGCATAGAGTTCAAGTCCAGCCTAAACTACAAAGTGAGACCCAGTCTCAAAGCACGCCCTCCCCAAATAAATAGATTAAATTTTAACATTCACTATTAGTCACACTAGTCAATTTCAAGGGCTTAGTGGTCTCATATGGCTGATGGCTACCAAATTGTACAGCATAGAAATAGAAAATGTCCATCATTGGTGAAAGTTGTTTTATACAGTGCTGTTCTAGAATTCTCCATAATAAAATGAATACCAAATAAATTCTAAAAGTATATACATCACCAAATAACAGATTCTCTAAGATGGTATAGATTATTAGAATTTTTTTTCTTAAAGGAGGAAATAGTACTGTCAGAAGTGAGAAAATTCAAGGCTGGTCCCCTTTAACCTTGGTCTGCATGTTTAACACTGTATATCAAACATCTTGTCATTAATTTTTAGGAAAAATAGCTTTGATTTAAGTGTTTATATTGCTATTTTTAGGGGTTTTTTTGAGACAGGGTTTTGCTAGATAGCGTAGGCTGGTCTTTGATTCCTGGTGACCTTCCCGCCTCAGCCTCCTGACGGCTGGAAATCAGGCATGTGCCACTATGCATGGCTTCTATTGCCATTTTTAGACTAAGAATAAATGGCATGCTTTATACTGTAATTGCTGCATTGGAATTTTATATCTGGCTTGGATAATCATCTAGATTGGTAACAGGGAGCCTTTTATTTATTTATTTATTTATTTATTTATTTATTTATTTATTTATTTATTTATTTATTTTGGCAGAACCCGGGATTGAACTCAGACCCTTGAGCTTGCCAGGGAAGCGCTTATTCCACTGAGCCATCTCCCCGGCCCCAAGGAGTCTTTTAGATATTTTAATGATAAGTAGTAAGCTGCCGCAGGCTCGTGATAGGTTTGCTCTCTGAATCTGAGATAGTTTCATTACTTGAGGTGTAAGAGTGTGTGTTTGTGTGCACACATGCGTGTGTGTGTGTGCACACATGTGTGTTGCTGGGAATCAAATCCAAGGCCTCCAACATCTAGGCAGGTGGTTTACCACTGAGATACATCCTCAGCCAAATAAAGTATCTTACTGATGACATTAATTGCTCAAAAGAACATTCTTAAGCTGGGTGTGGGGCACATGCCTGTAATACCAGCATTTAGGAAGCTGAGGCAAGAGAATTGCCATAAGTTTGAGGCCAGCCTGTGCTACATAGTGAGTTCAAGGCAACCCTGAAATACACAGTGAGAACCTGTCTCAAAGAACAAAAACGGGGTGGTGAGACACCTTGTGGTCTAAGAGCCTGCCTGGCCAGCACAGGTCCTGAGTGCTGTCCTTGGCACCTCATGCTGTGCCAGCGTGAACCTAGGTGTGCTGTGCTTGCCACTGAGACTGGGCATGGTGGTGCATGCCTGTAATCCCAGTGCTGAGGAGGCTGAGTCAGGAGGATTGCTACAAGTCTGAGCTACATAGTGAGACCCTGAACCAACAACAACAAACCCAAACACAAAAGAACATCCTTCCCCCTTTGAAAAGAAAATGTGCATGGAAAGTAGACCACTGGACTGTTGTTTGAAGTAGATTGAGAGGACTTAGCCATTTTTCATGGCCAGTACCATCAAGCATCATACCCTAGTTAATTCTTCACTGGAAGGACATACCTACCTCACAGTTAGATGTTCTTGTTTGTTGATTCAGACACTCTGTCCCTTGGATTATACTAGAGACACTGACAGTATTCAAAACATTTTTACTAGGCCAGGGATATAGCTTGGTGGCACAGCACCTACCTGGGAAGTGTATGGTGGTGATTTTGATTCCTGGAAAAAACAAAAAGTGTTTTTACCATAAAAACAATATATGTTCATTTTCTGGAAAATATAAATAAGACATGACATCTACAAATGTGAAGAGACAGTATTTCAGCTTCCATTCTGAAAACCAGTGTAGATTCATTGGAGTATAGGCATTAGTGAGCTGTTGCATGAAGGGTCAGTATATTATTGTGGTTAAAAGCAAAAGATCTAGAATCAGGCAAACCTAAGCTTGAAACCTGACTCTCTTACTTACTTTTGAGTGAGTTAAGAAATTATTCTGAACCTTGTTTTTATCATTTAGAAGAAGAGATGATCACATTCATAGGGCTCTCGTACGGGTTAAAAGAAGCAATGTGTATAAAGCTCTTTGCACATGCTTGTCACATTGTAAGAGCTCCATAAATGATGCTGTTGGCTGCAATAGTTTGATACTTATCCTATTTGAATTTACACTACCTGTTTGGCATTAGTTACCTAAAACTCACTGATGCAGTCTTTGTAATGTTTTGCTAATATCAACTCGTTGTTTTATGTAATCATAGTGCTATATTTTAGGTTATAATCTCAGATAACAAACATTTAATGCCTTTTTTGTACAAAGCACTACCATGTGTATAAAATAATATCACTTAAAGATACAAATCTAAAAATGATACCTATCTCAATCTGTTGCTTTGAGTTTCTTGTTCTGTTTTTTGTTTTTCTGGGACTGAGGATTGAACTCAGGCCCTTGTGCTTGCCAGGGAAGTGCTTATTCCACTGAGCCATCTCCCTGGCCCCTCTGTTTTGTTTTTGAGACAGGTTCTCTGTGTACCCAAGCTGCCCTCAAACTCAGGGTTATCCTCCTGTGTCAGCCTCCCAATTTATTGCTTTATTTTTATTTATTTTGTGTTTTAGGAAAGGGTCTACAGGGTGTTCAGGGTCTCACTACTAGATCGAACTTGTAGTGATCCACCTGTTTATAGCCTCCCAAGAGCTGGGATTAGAGGAGTGCGCCACCATGCCCAGTCTCAGTTGCTGTGGGGCCAGCATGGCAGACCTGCGGATTGAACCCCCCAACCCCTACACCTGCTTACAGGTGCTTTAATCTGCTGAGCTATTTGGCTGGCCCTTATTGCTTTATTTTTAAAAACAATCACAGAACCAAGGGACATTTGATGTTCTGTCCATTTTTTTCCAGTTCATTTGGAACAGAATATCAGTACATCCCCCTGGATCCATAGACAAATCAGTGAATTTGTGAGCATCCTGTTTTTGAAAATTCCTTACTGCATTCCTAAAGCAGTATGACAAATGAAAATGATATTTCTGTAAGTCTTTTTGGAAAAATTTGGTATATAGATATTTTATTAGCAAGTATTTGAGTACTGTAACTTTTTCATTTTGTATACTCACCCTAAAAATTAGTCATCTACTTCAGTATTAAGTTTAATATAGTGGTTGATATATAGTTGCTGCTAAGTAAAAGTTAACAGTACATTTGAAGCTACCAGTGCTAAAAAGTAGATTAGCTTCAGGTTTTCTTAATAAGCTTTAGGTTTAGTCATTTATGTTTAGCATTCATCAGCCTACATGTTGCTTTCCTCCTTAATCTCTGATTCTCTATCCAAACAGTCCTATTTTCTCTTTTCCCAGAATCCTCCAATGCAGTCTTCCTATCCAGTTGAATTTCTGCCTTCTAATTGGCCTTGCAGTGCTACTGATGAAAATAAAAAGACAGAAGTAAACCTAGAGGCTGTCTTTCAGATAGTAGATGAGTTGCATTCCTCTCCAAAATTGGAAATGGTAAAGGTGGAGCCTGTTGAGAATCAGTGCCCTACATCTCAGCCTAACAGAGGCCAACATATCCTAGCTAATTCAAACAACAGCAATCCATCTTCCATGACTCAGGCTAGCCAACTGGAGCCGCTTACTCCTGTAGGCTCAGATATTACGTCTTTTGTGGTTGGATCAGAACAAGCAATTGCCTGCTCTCTACCACAATCACCTGAGTACATCTATACCATCCACACAGCCCAGCCTGTGGACAATAACACAATGCAGGAGTCTGCAGCCATCCAACAAGCTCATGGCAAACTGAAGGAGCAACTAAGCCACAATCCATCTCCATCTCCAGTAGTATTTATGCAAGAAGGGCTTCCATTCAGCACACATCAGGTAAGGGTATAAACAGAATAACCTTAATAATGCTCAAAGTGTTTCTTGCCAAGGAGCCTTTGAGTGGAGAGTTTACCTAGATTTTACTTGGGTAATTCCAGAAGGGTTGTATGCCAGAGGTTTTGCACAAAAGATTCAAAAGAAGTTACTGTATCCCCCAGGTATCCTTTTATTACCTTATTGTCTGAAGTGAACCTCTGGAAAGACCAACTGATAGAGCATTGTGGTGTAAATCTTATTTTCAAGTTAAAAGCATCCTTTGAACTTTGTTTCCTAAATTAATTTAGCTGGTCTAGGTATGGCTGACTGTAGTTCCACTACCAGAAGTTGCCTCTACTTACATTTGTACATAGAGGTGAGTAAGTAAGAGGTAATGGGGGGCTGGTGAGATGGCTCAGTGGTCTAAAGCACCTACTTGGAACAAGCTTAGCAAAGCACAAGGACCACGGTTCAATCCCCCAGCACCACATGCCA